TTTTATTAGATTAATAGAAAGTTTTCTTTTAAAAAAAAAAATATGCAAATAGCCAGTGATTTTAATGTTTATCAACTTGATGATGGTGAATGTATTCAATATGTGTTTTTTTTAGTTCTATGGTTAAAAAAAATTTTTCCTTAATTATTTCCATTGGGGGATTCGCGTGATTGATTTAGAGTGTTATGTTATTTGTTTCACTTGGCGATCACACCAAGGGATATTGTGATAATATTATTGAGAAAATTGAAGCACATGGGAGAAATAGGTTTTATTTTTGTTATAATGTATGCACCGCAAATAGTATACATTAATACATCAGACCATAATTTTTTTTTGTAAAATATATTATAAGTTTTTTTTTTTTTAAATATTATAATAAATTTTTTTCAAAAAGTATTATAATAACTTTGTTCATACAAATACCCACTAGATCTCTATTCATAAAAATTTTGGTTAAAATTTTTAAGTAAAATTTTTATCAAACCAATGCTCATGACTTATCGTTTACTCCACCATTCCACCTTCCAGAGCAATTACTACCACCCGATTACAATGTATAACGTCAGTGTAGATAAATAGAGATCCAATCCCTTTACGATATGCCACGTCATTCAGGGAGCTACATTCCTCTACGTTGTCACTTTTTACATCTTGCCAGAAACAGGCTTTTTGAAACATTCGTCTTATAATAATAACGTCTTCGTTATCCCAAAACTCCACAAAGGAATACCACCGTGCCACCAATGATGAATTTAGGCAATGACCATTCTTTATTACGAATGAATATCGCAGACAAAGAAAGATCGAAGTGGAAAACGAAGCAGATGATTTGACAAAGATTTTATTATCACCGACAAAACAAAATAATGTTGATGAAATATCGATTGTCCCTTTCGAGTGGGGTGTTTCCCATAGTTATATTCACTATCACAAATGATCATTCACATTAAAATTAGCTATTTTTTTTGAAATATTTAAGGTAATCATGATATTATTAAATTAACCAAATAAAATCGAAGGACTTTATAAAATTTTATAAATCTGTTATAGCAATTTAGTTGATCATGCAACCCCGTTATATATCGTCCATGTTTGTTCCAAAGTATATATACCGTGACATTTTTTTTTTAAAATATATATATATTGTTGTGTATTTGTGTGTTTATAGGCGTGCCACAGCCCATAAAGGGATGGCATGTCGTAAACGATACTTATTTTAATAGAAATGTCAATCAATTTTTATAAATATATATATTAGTTTTTAATTAATGAAATGTCAGTCATTTCTGAAAAATAGGTTGTTAATTTTTTGTGAAAAAGAAATCATTATTTTTTTTTACTTGGTAATTTTTTCATGATATTTTTTGTAATGATAAAAACTATGAAATTTAATAAAAAAGTGTTTCCTTATTTTATAATTCCGAATATAACTCTTTAATTCAGTAGTGTTTCTTTTTGAGTTTATTTTTATATTAGAATTTAGTCTCTTTTTTTTATATAATTAATATTAAGTATTTTTTTAATCAAAACCTTCGTTTAATAAGATAATTGTTTTTGTCAGCGATCAAAATATATATTAAAAAATATATATATTAAAAAAAAATATCAATCAAAAAATATATTGTAACAAATTAAAATATATTTAAAATAAAATATCAATCAAAAAAATATATTTAAAAAAATTTATATATTAAAAAAAATATCAATCAAAAAATATATTTGTAACAAATTAAAATATAATTAAAAAAAAATATCAATCAAAAAAATATATTTAAAAAAAAATATCAATCAAAAAAATATATTTAAAAAAAAATATATATTAAAAAAAAATATCAATCAAAAAATATATTGTAACAAATTAAAATATATTTAAAAAAAATATCAATCAAAAAAATATATTTAAAAACATTTATTAGAGTAATAATAATTAATCTCAAATAAATAATAAATTTATTAATTTGTAAAATAGAATACATTGCCGGGTTATTTCGGCAATGTATACTTTGCCGAAATAACAAAATTACCCTGCCTACCACTACCTCACATTGCCGAAAATTGTCGGAATTAGTGTTGTTAAACGGCTCGAATTGAGCTGATTTTTAAAAACGGCTAACTCAATATTTCAGCCAGAAAAATATCATCTAAGCCTCGAGATTTCCTTAATAGATGTTCAACCCTTTGTCCTACCTATGAGCAAAATCAAAAGGCTTGCATAATATTTTGCCTAATAAAATATTGAGTTAGCTGTTTTTAAAAATCGGCTCAAAGTGAGCCGTTTAACAACACTAGCCGGAATATTTCACATTCCCGCTAACATATATATATATACTAAAAAGGCATAAATGTTCTTATATTTTTTTATTTTTTAAAATACATCCATTTTAGCTTCTGATGATATTCCTACTATTTCTAGGGATTTGATCCTAATCTATTCATTTTTTAAAAATTTTTTATTTGTTTTTATTTTAGACAACAAACCTTGTTTTATTTCATCCTTATAATTGTAAATATTGATATATCTATATCATCAATAAATACAAAATAAATGTTCAGAAAAACATGATAGTCTTGATAAATCCCAAACTAGACAAATTTTATTTTTTGATGATAGCCTCCCAACTACTAGAGATATGCATATATTGACCCCTTTACAGGTTCAGTACAGTATTTTAATGCTCGTTTTATTTCAATAATAATGTTTTATATTTGCCTAATTTCCTTATTTTTTTTAGGTTAACCCAAATTTGATCCCTCACATAGCTACAAAACATGATATTTCTATTAAAGATAAGCAAAGAAAAAAATGGCGACTCAACAAACGCCTTACCCGTTCTAGAATTACAGGTATGCAGGATAATAAGGACCTACGCCTGATATTAACTCCCCTGTGGGTTTTTAATGTTTTATATATATAGGTTTATTTTATATTCAACCAGATACCTTCAACAGATATTTCTATAACCACTACCACATTCCCTATGGCACCTCTACCATGCATATTTCGACATATATTTGATGACACCACTCACCTATATTAGATATCGGAAACAGGACAGAAATATGCGCCTTCTGCAATGCTAAAATTGGGAATGGAGAAAAATTATCAAAAAGCTCATGTAGAAATATTCAGTTTTCTACATGTTGCTTGAATGGGAAGGTAATTTTATTTAAAATTTCCCAATTATCACCAAATATTACGTTTATTTACCGGGGATCATTGTTCACCGTCCCACTTTTTAAAAAACATAAGAGCATATAATTCCGCACTGTCATTCACTTCACTAGGAGTTAATATAAATAATAATTTATCCAATTCGCGATCAGGTAATTATACCTTTCAAATTAATGGACAGGTTCATCATCGCATTGATTCACTCCTACTACCAACATTAGGGGAAACACCTAAATTTGCCCAATTATATATACATGATAGTATAAATGAGATAGAAAACAGACATATCCAGGTTCCGTTTTTAGATCGTTGTCTTTTAATGGAATTGCAGGATATTATTCACACCTACAACCCCTTTGCTTCTCAATTTTGAGAGTATCTTCTATGATCGCTAATGGCGTTCCTCTTCCTAACATATCCTTAAACTTAAAATCTACTCCAAGTTTTGACATAAGATCCTACTTTTTTAAAAGCTTACCATTTTGTCGGACACCATTGCTCTTATTATCCCTGCGGATTATTTTGTATAAAGCACAAAAAATATATATAGTACATTATTTTTATTATAAATAATTTTATATATGATTTTATATCTATTCCAAAAAATCTTCCTTTTATTTCAATAATAATGTTTATTTATATTTTTGCCTGATTTCTTTATTTGTCTAGGCTAACCTAACCTTAATCCCTCACATTGCTACAAAACTTGATGAATCTATTAAAGATAAGCTAAGAAAATAATGACGAATAAACAAACGCCTTGCCAGTTCTAGAGTTACTGGTAACCAAAATAATAAAAAACTACGCTTGAAATTAACTCCTCTGGAGGTTTATTTATTTTTGTTATCTTATATTTTATATATATATAATTTGCATATAAGTTTTGTCATATTAAGAAATATATATGTTGTGTTTTATTATTTTTGAACGTTTTCAAGGTTATATTTGTATTTTATTAAAGAAAAAATAATAATAATGTTTTTTATGCTTCGAAGATTGTAATTTATTTTTATTTAAAAAAGAATGAAATGTTTTATTAGTAAATTTTTTCGCGTAAAAAAGAGGATTTTTTTATAAGAGGAATTTTTTTATAAGAAATAATTTTTGTTATGAAATATAGATTATATTAATAAAAAAGTTATAAGAAGTCTACAAAAAGTGGTGCCGTTTAATTTTTATTCAACCAACGGACAAGATATCTGGGTAAAAGTGGACGCAGTGTACTAATGAAAAATACAATCACGGTGGAAAATAAAAAATTCTTAAAAATAAAAGGTAAAAATGTTTTGGAATATATAAAATGATTGCATTTATATAATTTTGATATTATTAATTATATTAGGTTTAATATATTGTCTACCTTTTAGCAATGTTAAAATATTTATAATAAAAGTTTTAATAAATTTTTTATAAATTTGTGAATAAAAAATAAATGTTTAATTATAAAAGAAGTATAAAAACTCAAAAGTATGTGGAAATGGTTCTACGGAGAAATAATTGTATTATAGCGGTAGTAGTGATATGTTTATGGATAATTGGTATTATGTTACATCGGAAAAAAATAAAAAGAGATAGAATAAAATTACGGAGGAAATTGAAGTGAAAAATAATGATATTGAAAAGGGAAAAAATGAAAGGGAAGTAAAAAACGTTAATGAAAATGAAAGAATTACGGAAGAGATGTTAATTTAAAGGATGAAATATAGAAAATGTTAAATGAAAATATGATAGAAGGAATGAGAAAAAGTATCAATATTATTAGATCGGGAGAGGAACGAAAAGATATTGATATAAAAGAGAAATAGAGATTAAAGATGAAAATGGAATGAGAGATAGTAAACGAAATAATTATAGTTATGGAGAAAATTGTGAGAGAAGGTATAATGAAAGGGATTTCAAAAGAGATGATCGAAGAAATGATAAGGAATACGATCATTTTAAAGAGTATAATACGTCAATGAACTTGCAGAGAAATGAAAAGGAAAATTGGGAAAAAGAAAAATTTTTCCGAAATAGATTTAATCGTCCAAAGATTAATATGAAAAATATAAGATGTTATGCATGTGGAGAATTGGGGCATATAAGTAGAAATTGTGTACAGAACGGTGCAATGTTTAACAAGCAACCGATTAAATGTAATAGATGTGGAGGAGTTGGACATAGTAGTGAAAAATGTTATGTTCCGACGTATCGTATTATTGGAAATAATCAAAAAACATTTCAATGTGAAAGATGTGGAAAAATGGGACATGCTAAAGAGAATTGTTATGTAAGAGAACCGATAAATGGGGAAGCATTTCCGGCAGTGAAATACATAGCACCTGCATCTAATGTAAGAGTGATACAAAATAGTGATATGTTGAAAGAAGGTAGAGTTGAAGTTATGTGTTTTAAATGCAGAAAGGAAGGACATAGTGCTATAGAATATCGAGATAGGTGACTAAATGATAGCGAAAGTAATAAAATGGAGGGTATTACATTAAAGAATGAAATGAAATTTCGTGTGAATGGAGATGTAGAAGTTAAGAGAGATTTAGTAGATAAAAAAAAATGTAAATTTGGAAATGGTGGAATTATAAAGGATTATAGAATCCCTATTTTAAAATTAGAGGATAAAAGTGAGAAGGATAAATGTCCTCGTGTGGAAATAGTTGTGGGAAGTAGAAAAATATCTATGCTATTGGATACAGGTGCGGCGATATCGATTGTAGGTTATGAAAATTTTTGTGAATATTGGCCAGAGGAGAATATAATTAAAGAAGAGATGAGAGTTAAACAGTTTGACGGATCGGAATTAAAGGTTTTAGGAAAAATTGAAGTACTGTTTGTGATAAATGGTATAGTGAATTATTTAAATTTGTGGATTGTTGATAAAAAAGTGGATACGATTATGGGGTGGGAATGGATTGTTAAGATTGGTCCTTTAAATAATTTTTGGGGTATCTTTTCAAATAATTAAACGAGATAAAATGATTGAAATTCAGAACGATGAAATTGAAAATCGAGAATTATGTCATGTAAAAGATGAAATCATTGGAAATGGTGTGATGGGTAATCAGATAAGTGAATTTGAAAAAGAAAATATGTCTCAAACACGGATAGTTCCAGTTAAAAAAAGAAAGGTAAGATATACTGAGTTGTCGCAAAGTGTTAATATTATGGAAAATGACAAGCCTAGAGAGGTAAAAAAGGAAATATATTGTAGAAAATGTATTAATGAGCGAAATAATGATGAAATAAAAATAGTCACAAAAACAGAAGAAATAGAGGAGAAAATTATTAGTCAATAAATGTATAAGGAACTGGATAATGAAACGAAAGATATACCAGTGTTACAGAATTTCCCGGCGAAATTTGTAAGAAAAAAAGAGGAAAAAGAGATTAATGGAGGGGAATAAAGGGAACAATTGTCGAGTTTGGAAAATTGGAGGCTTGCAGTGGCAGTTTTAATGAATAGTTATAGTGAAATTTTTGAGGAGAAATTAGGATGTTTAGTGGATTATGAAGTTGATATCCGTTTAAAGGAAGGTTTTGTACCGCAGTATTGTCCGGTGCGAAGAGTTCTTTTTGAATAAAGGGCAGAAATGGAAAAAGAGTTGGACAACTGGGTGAGAGATGGAATTATTTGTCCTATTGGTTACAGTGAATGGGCAACTCCGTTGGTTCCTGTTAGAAAGGCCAATGGAAAATTGAGGTTATGTGCAGATTTTAGGGTGACCTTGAATCCTTGGGTTGTAGAGGTGAAATATCCGCTACCGCAAATAGAAGAAAATTTGGCCAGTTTGAAAGGGGGAAAATATTTTTCCAAGATTGATTTTTCGTGTGCATATTTGCAATTACCGATGGCAAAAACGACTAGGAGATTATTGACGATTACGACATTCAAGGGCTTGTTTACGTTTTGTCGATTAGTGTTATGTTCTATCTCCCCACTTGTCCCGTATAACTTATTTCTTTTCTTTACGTTTTTCTCCACTTGTTTCTTTTGTTTTCCCATCTACCTTTTTTTTGTTATGAAGTTGATATTATACCTTATTTTTATATCGCATTTGAAACTGGTTCTAACCAGTTTCAAGAATGATTGTATCGCGATTATATTACAACCTTTTTTTTCTCTTGTTTTAAAAATTATAAAGGTTGGAAAAATACCTTTTTCTTTGATTAAATATTTTTTTTGTGTGAAATTTGATTATTAATTATCTTGTTGTGCGTAGTTTTATTCTTTGGTAAATTGTGACATTTTAACAATAAAATGAATTACTAAAATTACCTGGAGGATGACTAAGATGAAAACCGGTCCCAACGTCAACTTACCTGAAAATCCCGGTCCCTCGAATTCTGCCGATCCCTCTCCCTATCCCTCGGCAGAACAGCCCGCGGTCGTGGCCCTAAACTTTTCACTGGCGCCCTGGGGCTCAAACCCGACGTTGGGACCGGTTTTCATCTTAGTCATCCTCCAGGGCAATTTTAGTAATTCACTTTATTGTTAAAATGTCACAATTTACCAAAGAATAAAACTACGCACAACAAGATAATTAATAATCAAATTTCACACAAAAAATATTTAATCAAAGAAAAAGGTATTTTTCCAACCTTTATAATTTTTAAAACAAAGAGAAAAAAAAAGGTTGTTATATAATCGCGATACAATCATTCTTGAAACTGGTTAGAACCAGTTTCAAATGCAATATAAAATAAGGTATAATATCAATTTCATAACAAAAAAAAGGAAGATGGGAAAACAAAAGAAACAAGTGGAGAAAAACGTAAAGAGAAGAAATAAGTTATACGGGACAAGTGGAGAGATAGAACATAACACTCCTCCCCGCTTAAATACGACTACCCGGCCGTCTGTGCCGATTTAATTCCCTAGTCGATAAAAAAAACCGACATCGCCGCACCGCTGAGTTAGAGCGGAGTTAATTACGAAGGTAAACCCTACCTTAAGTCAATAAAATAAACAAAACGGCATTTGCCGCACCGCTGTGTCAGAGCGGATTTTATTACCATGGTTAACCCTAGCTTAATTCCAAAAGAAACCAAGACGGCATACGCCGCACCGCTGTGTTAGAGCGGATTTTAATTTAGAAGGTAAACCCTACCTTAATTTCAAAAATAAACCAAGACGGCATTCGCCACACCGCTGTGTTAGAGCGGATTTTATTACAACTAAATTTGAAACACGTGGAGGACATGAAAAAAAAGGATTTGATACATAACAGGTGGATGACCACAAAAAAAATTCATATAAAATACAAATAAAATGATAAAAAAAATAAATAAATAAGGGTGTTTTATGGAAATACAGCATTCTCCTCCCCGCTTAAATTCGGCTACCCCGGGGAGGGGGTCTAAACGGTCATGTGAGTGCCTCCTCTTATTTTGGTGGGTTTTTTGGTTCGTAATCGATACGTTTCGTCCTTTGAGTCGGGGAATCTGAGAGTTCTTTCTTTCCCTTGGTGAGTGAGCCGGTTGTGATGGATTTGTAGCCTTTTGGAACAACTTTGTACGAAGTGGTGTGGTTTGGGGGGTCGTCATCTTAGCGGGATTTTCGATGGTTTTGTGACGATAGGGGATTAACGACTCGATCCGCTGTTGACCAAGGTGATACGGCGTTTCGGACTTTTTAGCGAAAAAATCGTCTGAAGGGGTCTCGGTGCTTGGAGAGTTGTGGGGTGAGAACCTGATATTTCCCGAAGGAGGTTTAACGGACGTGACTGTAGAGCAGGTATTTTTCGGGGTTTGGCGGTGGGAAGTATTTTTATCTCTATTTTACTAAGAAAGTTAAGGTATCCGAATATCTTTGTGGATAATCTAATTTTAGCTCTTTTATTTCATGAGTCTCGGCTGTAACATCTTGTATGATTCTGGGTATTTCATTTAGTATATCCTTTCCCATTATGGAGGTTTGGTTGTCATTTGTTACTAGTATTACCCGAATATGTGCTGTCATGGTAGTTTATTACCGCGGGGAAGTGTCCTATTGGGTGAATGGCGTGACCCGAAAATGATTTTAGTATTATGTTAGTGTCTTTGAGCGGGATAAATTTGAAAAGCAAATTATAAGTTTGTTTACCAATAACGGATACTTCTGAGCCAGTATCTACTTCCATTTTCAACGGTATATTATTTACTTTTATCGTTACCTGGAAAGAGTGGTTTTCTTGTTGGAAGCAGTGTTGTTAAAATAGCGCGCTACTTTTTTAAAAAAATAGCGATAGCAGTAGCTCGCTATTTTCAATTTTACATAATAAATACATGTAAAAATTATTAAAATATATTTTTTATAAAATCTAAAATTATAATCCTTTTATTTAATTTAATTTTGAAATTTAAATTTATATTTAAAAATATACATTATTGTTATATATTAGATATAAACAGTTGTTAAATAGCAATCTCTATTTAATTTATATTTCGCGCATTCATTAAATTATATATTTTTGAAATTCCGTTATTGGTATTCCTTGCTTTTATCTTATTTTATATTTCATTTTACATTTTATATTAAGAATTATAAATCTTGTTATGTGTGAGATTGTTGAAGATATGGAAATTTCTTTGGAAAATGAGCAAAATATAGATGATCCTTTCCCAAAATTCAAGAAATACTTTAACCTTGAAGAAAAAATGAATACTGGCGGTTTCGGTGCAAGATGTGCCGCAAAATTATCTCTTCAAATCATACGAGCAGCTTTAATTTGAAAAAACATTGAAAGGTAATATATTAAACAAATTTAATATCAATGTGTAGGCTAATCTTTAATTTTTAAAATAAATTAAAATCAAAAACCAATCATTTTTTTTATATATTCATAAATTTTATCTAAATTATTTAAAACATTTTAAAATAGTTATTTCAATCATTTTTATGTACTTATCTCCTACATAATTTTTATTCTAAGTATTTTATAATTTTAGACTGTGCACACTTCAAATTATAAAGAGATTGAAAAATATCTCAAAAGTTTTGGGGTAATGGAAGAAGATAAACCCACTTCCAAATCAAATTTAATACAAACAAAATTAATCAATTTGGATTCATCAACACCTGGTGTATCCCAAAAATTGGCTGACAAAGTCATTATGAACTTTATAATAGATACAGTTCAACCATTATCCTTGGTGGATAATGATTTTTTTATAAAGATGATAAACACTTTTTCTCCACGGACCAAGATATTTTGCCGGCAGACATTGATGGCAAGAATTTTGGAGAGCTTTAAGGAAATGAAAGAATCTTTGATATTACATCTATCAGATGTCTCCTACGTCTGTACAACGGCAGATTGCTGGACTCACAATAGAAGGTAAAAATGTTTATTTTCTGATTTATAATATGTCATATTTTTAGAGCTTATTTAGGAGTAACTGCACATTGAATTGATCCTAAAAATCTTAAACGAAAATGTGTAGCGTTAGCTCTATAGAGAATAATTG